CACACACGCGTATGAATCCTTGCACTATCATCTTAAAGTCAGGGCCTCAGAAACCACCAAAAAGAGCGGGATGGTCTAAAACAGTGGTTCTCAATCTTCCCAAAGCTGCGATGCTTTAATACAGAGCCTCGTGTTGCGGTGATCCCAGCCATACAGTTATTTTCATTGTGACTACACGACTGTAATTTTCTACTGCTAGGAATCATATTGTAAACAGCTGATAGTCCTGGTGGTCTTAGGAGAGACGGTGGCAGGGTCATTTCACCCACAAGGGGCCGGGATCCACAGTTTTAGAACCACGGGTCTAAAGCGACACAAAGCAGACTTTCCCCTAGGAACAGCTCTTTGATGGGACTCCCCACCTCTGCAGTGGGAATGCCTGTGCCAGCCCCACTGTGCAGGAATGGAAGCAGTTCTGCTAGGGGATGCCCAGAGGCAGAATGGAGGAGACTTACATATGCTGTCCTGAGGCTACAGCCCTTGGCTGCAAGCCTTAATAACAAGGTGACATCAGCCTGAGGTGCATCAGCCGGTTGTTACAAAAATGTCCCGGTGGAGGGGCTTTGTGTGCAAGGCTGTGCTGGTCAATGAACATGCCTGTGCTCCTGGCAGAGTCCGTGTGGCCGTTACTCTCAGGCAGTCATGCGGAAGAGCCGCCTTCCAGGATCTGCCTTTGTGTGTTTATTTTTCATTAGTGCAGACAGGAATGGCTCTGTTTTGATCTCTCATAAATCCAGTTACTTAAGAATACATTAGTTAAAAAATTATTAACAGAAATGCATTAGCCAACCAGCACAGTGGAAAAGAAACGTCTTCATGCGCCAAATACGTCAACTTGTGAATGAGGGATTGATTAAAGCTGAAGTGATCCCAAGTGCGTTAGGTTTCAATGACCTTGGCAAAGGCACACAAGTTGCCATCAGCTCTGGCTGATTATTGGAGGCCTAATTGCACAAAGCCGCTGGATTCTTGATGGAAATGGCCCAAATTAGGGAACACGGAAACAGGAGCTGCTCCTGTAGGGCTTGGATTCTCTCCTGGCCAGAGTCCCCATGTTTTGTGGAAGGCACCAGAGCAGTGGAAGAGATGGGAACAACGGGCATGCGCTTAGCAGCCACCCCTGGCGCTGAGCCGTGCAGTGTCCCAGAATCTCAGCTCTTTTACAGTCCCAAGCTCGGATCTTTTTAGTCACGTATTAAAAGGAGCGAAACAAAACAAAGCAAGAACAGCAACAAAAAACAAGGCTGGAGAATTCACCCAAATGTTCCCTGTTGCTTTTGGGTGGCAAGTACCTTCCCTGTGTTGCTTTCCAAGCGATACAGCTAACTTGTTCATTCTTCTCGACCTCCTTAGGGATGCGTCTTTAGTGAGTGGAATTCATTCTTCTTTGGACCAAGTTTTAAGTTCCCGTGATAATCATCACGTTACTGGAGTCATCTCTATTAAACCGTGAAACCTCACATTGAGTATTGAATGTCTCTTCCATCCAAAACTCAGGTTGGGAGTTTTTTGTTTGCTTGAGACAATGTCTCTATGTAGCCTAGTCGGAGCATCAAATTCACAGTCCCACTGCCCGAGTCTGCCAATTTCAGGGATTATAGACAAGCGCCAGCAAGCCTGGTTCAGTCCATGTTGGAATTTAATTGGGAGATGAGACCATGTGGTAGGTGATCTCATAGCAGGATCCTGCTCCGTGGTGGGCTAGTGTGTCTTCATAAATCACTGATAAGAAATGTCTCACTTGGAGCATACGTGTTCCCCTGGAGGCTACAGATGAGTTGTTTTATAGACTTCAGGGAATTGTTGATCTTAATGTAACTGATTAATCACAAAGACCCCTATGTAGGGGCCCTTTATGGGACACTGAAAAATACATTATAATGAGGCCTTGCATGAATTCATCACTTGACCCCGATGTTTCAAGAGGATAGTGGTCAACTTGTCACAACCTAGACTCACTTGAGGAGAAGGTCTTAACGAGGGATTATCTCTATTATTTACCTGGGTCATGTCTGTGGGGACTATCTTGATTGTTAACCAATGTAAGAAGACCCAGTCTACTGTGGGTAGCACCATTCCCTAAGCCGTGAGTCCTGAACTCCACAAGAGTAGCGAGAGAAAGCTTTGCAACTACAAGCAAACAGTAAGCGTCTATTTTTCTTTGCTCCTGACCTTGGTTGTGATGTGATTAGCTACTTGAATTCTTGCCTTGCCTTCTGTTCAATACTGAAGTATAATCTGAAATTGTAACTCAAATAAACCCTTTCTCCCCTCAATTGTTTTTGCCAGGATACTTGATCATAGCAGTAGACATGAAGTTAGAACAGGTCATGTTCAAGTGGCAGGCAATCACAGGTGCTTAGAACACGGGTGCCTACGAGATATCTCGAAGAATGGAGCTCTGAGTTTCCCACAAGTCCTGCCACCATTGCTCCTAGAAAGACATATGACAGCCTGTCTGGCTCAGAGTCGATTTTCTTCTGTTGCTGTTTGCATATCTTCCCTTCATCATAACAATATGGTCAGAGGACAGATGACGGCTCTGCCTCCATATAGTTAAAGCTGCCATTAAAAATGGCAATTACACAGTATGTGAGCCAGACAGAAAACTGGCCATGGATATGTTTTCAGCCTGTAACAGGGTACTGAGAACGGGACCGCTTTGCTTGCTTTGGGCTTTGGCTGGAGCCAAAGTCAGGGTGTTGAGCCACAGCTCAGAGGAGGCATTTTGGAGAGACGCTCACACATGGGACCCCAGAGCCCATATCTGATTATTGACATTACCTTCAAGGGCTATGCTTCTAGAGAGGGACAGGTGGTCAGCAAATGCCCTGTGTCGCTTATACAAGAGTAAATAGTTATCACAGACCTCACTGGGAGCCATTGGAGAAGGCATTTTTCTGCCCTAGAAGTGGGCTGTAGAAGGAATGTATGGCTGCCTTATTCTCTCATTCATTTACCAAGTACCTGCGTCATGTCAGTAGACACATCCAAGTCCCCGCCTTCTCGGGTCTAATTCAGTGGTTCTCAACCTTCCTAACACCACCAACCATTATTGATGGTCCTCATGTTGTAGTGACCCCCAACCATAAAATGATTTCTGTTGCTACTTTGTAACTGTAATTTTGCTACTGTGATGGAATGTAATGTAAATGTCTGATAGGTGGGATATCTGATACGTGACCAAACCCCTCCATGGGGTTATGACCCACAGGTTGAGAACCACTGGCCTAAGTGTTCCAGTAAGTGATGTGCTGAGGAAACAGACAGCAAAAAACAAAACCAAATCTAGAAGGTGCTATGAGGAACGGTGAGAATGCAGGCAAGGGAAGAGAGGGCCATTTAAGTACAGCTCCAGGGAGCCTTTCTGAGAGGTGACAGCAAGGACAGCTACCGGGAGTGAAAGAATAAACCATAGGTCTCTGCAAGGGAGGAGTGGGTCAAGAAGAACATGCACCCTGTGCAAAGGTTCTGAGGTGGTAGCAAGACTCCTGCATTATCTAAAGCTACTTCCTTCCTCCCACTTTATCCCAGACCCTTGCCCTGTTCCCCCATCAGCCCCAGCTCTGCCAGTCTGAGAGATACCTTGAAAACCAGTTCTGTTGAGGGATAACAGACATTAAAAATAACTCTGGTTCCTACCTACTGTCTACAAACACAGAGGACAGAAGGATGCTCCTCCAGCCAATGGCCACTATGTGGAGTTCCGATGTTCAGGTTGAGCCCTGGAGCCAGTCATGAAGCAGGGGTCACTTTCCTTTAAGGAAGGAGAGAGGGCAGGTGGGGGAGGCTGAGGTTCAGGCTGCTGTCAAAACCTTCTTTGTAGGAGGTAGGAATGGGCTTCAAAAGCAGGCTGTTGGCCCTCGGTCACCTATAGGGTGAGCACTTCAACTCCCCCCCCTCTGTGTGTGTGTGTGTGTGTGTGTGTGTGTGTGTGTGTAAGCTAGAGATATTCTTGTTTCTGCTCCCTCGGTCCCAGGATTACAGGGCACACAATTGTCTTAGTTACTTTCCTGTGGCTGTGATAAATACTATGACCAAAAGCCACTTGGAGGGGAAAGGCTTTATTTGACTTACACATCCCAATCACAGACCATCAATGAGGAAAGTCAGGGCAGGAAGCAGGAGGCAGAAGGAACTGAAGCAGAGGCCATGGAGGGAACAATGCTTACTGGCTTACTCCTCTCTGGATTGCTCGGTTTGCTTTCTTAACGACCTCAGGACCACCTGTCTTGGCTCTACCAATCACAGAGGCTGGACCCTCCCATATCAACCATCAGTTGAGAAAATGCCCTACAGGCTTGCTCACAGGCCGCTCTGGAGGAGACATTTTCTTTTTCTTTTTTCTCTAGATTTATTTTTATTTAATTTGCTTTTAGGATAATATTTTAATTAATTAGTTGGGGCTTTGGTACATGTACATAATGTATTTTGATCATATTCATCTTCTCCTTCTAGCTCTTCACAGGCACCCCTACCTCCCCACCTTCTCCCAATGCTCGTAAACCATCTTAAAACATGTTTTTAGCTGGGCAGTGGTGGCGCACGCCTTTAATCCCAGTGCTCAGAAGGCAGAGACAGGAGGAGCTCTGTGAGTCCAAGGCAACCCTGGTCTACAAATGAGTTCCAGGACATCCCAGGCTCCAATACAGAGAAACCTTGTCTATAAAGACTAAAAAAATTTAAATTGAAATAGAATAACATCAATTCCTTCCTCCCTTTCCTCCCTCCAGCCCTTCCCTGCTATCCTCCCATGCCCTAAACTCTTAAGCTGACAGCCTCTTTTTCTTTTATTATATTTGTTATATATAAACACACACATGTATGCATGCATATGCAATAACTAGAACCTGCCAAGTCCGTTTTGGTTGGTATCAAGCCTGACCATTCTACATTTGGACAACCAATGAGGAGGCTCATCCCTAGGAGAAACTAATTCCCCCAACAGTCTTTAGCTGCCTAGAGTTCTTTATCTAGGGGTGGGGTTCTGAAATTTTCCCCTCACACTGACATGTCCATTGCTATTGCTTTTTTTTCCTCTTCTTCTTTGTTAAAGCTGCTGTTTCTAGGAGAGACTGTTGCATCGTAGACTTCCTGGTATTCTGGCCCTTACAATCTTTCCGCGTCTTCCCCCTTGGTCTTCCCAGAGCCATAGATGCAGGAGCAATGATACAGATGTATCCGTTGGGGCTGGGCTCCGTACAGTACGTGGTCTCTGAAGTGTAGAGTTGTGGTTTCCTGGAATGGCATCCATGTGCTGTAAAAGGAGGTGTCTGTGATGAGGGCTGGCCGCTACACTTATCTATGGGCACAAGGGAGGATTTTAATTGAGGTCCCTCCCTCCCAAATGGCTCAAGTTTGTGTCAAGTTGATGTGAATCTAGCTTGCATAACTATGATGCCTAGCTCTTTGGGGGGATGCTTAGGATCCAAACTCAGGTCCACAGGCTTTCAGAGCAAGTACTTATCAACTGGGCCACCCCAAAGCCCCACTTCCTCTCTTTACTCTTGAATTTGTTCACAAGAAACAGCCATTAAGGGCTGGTTATGAAAAAGTACATGGAGTTCTTGAAGCTCAAAATTACATCTAGAAGTTTCCATACCTGTGTGTTTTCCTGGAGGGAGATTCCACAGTCATTTTTTTTTAACAGGGTCTGCATCCCCAGAGGTTCTGGGCCCATTCGTCTGCATGGGGCTCTTTGCCACTGCCAGGGAAACAATTAGTATCTGGCACGGGTTCAGCCCCAGCTGCTTCCCTGGGAACTTCTGCATTCTTGTCTGAACACAGGAAAGTTAAACCACCCACATGCCTCTTTGTCCAACAGTCCCAGCTCCGTGGCCCTGAGCTAATGTGTAATAGGTCTCTCTCTCTCTCTCTCTCTCTCTCTCTCTCTCTCTCTCTCTCTCTCTCTCTCTCTTAATCTGAGTAGAATAGACTTGCAAAGCGGTGTGCTGGAGCTTCTTCAACAAGCCCTGCACAGACAGGGTGGGGTTAGTAGCCATCTCAGTAAACCAAAGACCTTGAGGCCTCGACAATAAGCTGCAGGGACCACTGCATCACAGACTGAGATCCGTTTCAGAGCGTCCTTTCTGGCAATTTTGGGGGGATTACTTTCCTCCAATAATGGGAGCGCTGGAAAATACCCATTTAGAGGTTAGGGACCCCTAATGATATGAAGAGCAACAGCGCCCTTTCTGGAAGGACCATAAAGGGAAAGAAACAATGAGTTGAACACGGAGAATGGAAGGGAACCAACCGGAAGTTCTCGCCGGTCATAAGAAGCAATCCCGATACCCCCAAGGCAGGGACTCACCTAGCTCCCATTGCACCTGGTGGAGGTATGGCAGTTTCTGCTTCTCCTGGATCTTCTGCAAGTGACGCTGTGGCTTTGGGAGCATCCGGTGCCCCTCAGTTGATCTTCAACTTTCCCTTCATAAAGGACTTTCTCTGATCCCAATAAGGAGAGGGCCATGCATGGGATAGAAAAGCATGAGAAGATCAGTCGCTGCGTGCTGCGGTTTTCGCTGTAGAAGTTACCAGCTGAGGCTGGCAGCCCCTCTGCCGCCTGCCTTTAGGGACTTCCTTTATGCCATCCTCTGGCCACCAGGTGGACTCAGATACTCTTTCTTGGCTGCTGGTCTCTGCCTCTTGAGCAGCCTTCTTCTCCAAGGTACATGCATGGCTGCAGAGGAACCATGTTTTCCTTGGGAGGGAAGACTAGTCCCAAGTCACGTGGTTGAATGCGTGTACCTCCTTCAGTAGTCTCTCTCTGCCCATGCACCATGGGTCGGCTTGCAGCAGGACTGCAGGTGGAGTCAGAACAGAGCATGCTCTAGGACTGCAGCACGGGCTCCCTCGTCCACGCTTTGATGGAAAATGCTTCCTAAAAGCTGCACCCTTGAGCTCTTGCTGCCTGACACTCCGTCTCCCTAGCAATGTCACATGTTTAGGGGGTGACCCCACTGATCTCCAATCTTGATGGGGGCTTGCAGTTCCTACACACAGTCCATTCATCTCTCTCTACTGGGATGCCCTCTCTCCTATGGCACATCTCAGCAGTATAAGAGGGGCACTCTATCCACTCTCCCATATACTCGTGGGCATGGAGGGTGATGCCTTCTTTCAGGCAAATGAGCTCCTGTGCCAGGTCTCTGGGTTCCATCCAAAGACTGGAGGGTACTGGAGCTCCACCCCAGCGTCTTTCCCGTCAGTCTATTCCTATCTCCCATATGCCCCTCTACTTGGTTTCTGGCTTGGTTTAGCGTTGGACACTACTTATTCTTTTGTGATTCTTCCCACAGATTTGAAATATGTAAAGTGTTTGGGCAGATGATAAATGTCATCTCTCTGTCATCACTGATTTTTTTATACCAAACACCCCTAAGGTCTCTTTAAGGTCAGTGTTCCATTCCTTTCTCCCATGGCCCCTCAGGCACACTCCAGCAGACATAATGGATTTTCTAACTACTAAGTTCAAGGTCATGAGGCTTCCTAACCACTACATTCAAGGGAGAACATCAGCCCTAACCCCACTTGACCATCTTAGTTAGTGTTTGGCCCAGCTGGGGACCCTGCATCCTTCCTGATGTGCCCTCCAGCCTCCTTTTGCAGAGGCTCGCAGCTTACAATAGAGTCTTGTCCTGATAAACCCGCTGCATCCTGGCAAAGCTCACAGGCCAAAAACTACATTGTTGCTCCTGACCTACTGAGCAATCTAGACAGATGTGGTGCTCCAGAGTTGTCTGGGAGCCAAGCTGGGCACAACTGCCAGCATCCCCAGAGAGAATCCGGCTGCAGGGTGCTCACCTGGGAAAGCATCCAAGCTCAGAACCCAAGGTCTGGTTCCTGTTGAAGGAAGGTGACTTCTGCATCGTTGTAAAAGTTGGAATAAAACTTATGAAATCACTGCAATTCGGGGGCCATCAGTATCGAACAGACTCCACCCTGTGGCTCCTCTTTAGCCTTCTGACCTTCAGAGGTGGGAGGCCCCGGGATGTAGTGTCTTCTCTATTTTCACCACTGCAAAGGGTCCTACGACTGTCTCCTGGCTTCCAATGACATCCACATCCTGAGAGGGGGAGTGTCTCTCTGTTTAGGTCTTCCCCCTGGATCCCAGCATCACGCGTCTGTTTTTCCTGGTGCCCCCTTCTGAGATATCCTTGGACATCTGCAGAGTCACTCTGCCCAACTCGGTCCCTGTATTTCCACCACCAAGCCTGTTCTCCCTTCAGCGACAGGGAACCCTCGGCTCAAGCCAATGACTGGGGTTTGGTTGGGAGTGTTGCTAATCCCTCTCCATTTCTTACACCCCACATGAAACCGATTAGTAAATCACGTTGGCTCTGGAATCAGGTCGTGGCCTTGCCACCCACATTGACAGTCCCCCATGACAGGCCTCCTCCAGCTCCTCCGGCTTCTTGCAGCAGCTTCTTTGTGAGGCCTGGCCTCCTTCCCTCGGCACTGCCACAGCCTTCTTGTCTGCAGGATCCGTGAGGCAACCAAGTGATCTATTTCCTCAGACCTTGCCAGTCTTCCAGCGAATCCTCATTGTCACATGGAGTTGAGACCCCTGACTGCCTTATGACAGGCGAGGTTGTAATGTTGTCTCATCTTACCACAGACCCCGTCTTCTTCACTCTGGTAGAACCAAAGCCTCTTGTGCAGTGTGTCTTGAACATGCCAGCACACTCTTGCATCCCCTCCATGCCTGTTCCATTTCTTCTGCCTGGAGCACTGTTCCATCCCTCAGGCGTTCGGTTGTCTCTCACCCTGACTTCCTGGGGGGGGGGTCTCTATTCACACGGGCCTTCTGTGTTTCTCTCTCTGGCCCCCAACACTGAAACATCAACTTAGCTCTTGTCTTGCATGCCGCTGTTCTCTCTGCTTTATCTGTTTGTAAACTGCAGTTCTCAGGATTCTATTGCTTGTTGGTCTCTACATTTTCTCTCTGGAACGGAAGCTTCAAGGGGCAGGTTTGTTTTGTTTTCTTCAGCCCCATCCCCAAATAGTGGGAGGTACTGGCCTGTCATTAGTGTTCAATAAACACTTGAAATGATGAAATGGAATAATTTTTGTTTAAAAAAGATTCATTTACTTCATTTATGTGCATTAGTGTTTGCCTGTATGAATGGCTGTGTATTGTGAGCATGCAGCACCCACAGGGTCCAGTAGAGGGCAGTATATTCCCTGAAACTGAAATTTCAGATGCTGCGAACTGAACCCAGATTCTATACAAGCAGGCAGTACCCTTACCTGCTGAGCCTCTGGAACTCTCTCTCCATCCCCTTCACGAGTCGGTCTGCTCTGCAAATGCCAACATCCTCTGTCCCACTTGGCATATTTTCTCGGGGATGTGTTGACATCACCTAGAGCATGGCGCAGAATGACACCATGTGGCAGAAGCAATACGGTTTGTCACTTTTCATTCTTCCCCACATGCACCCTTTGCAAACTAACCTTGAATCAGAGGCAAAGTCTCCAACCACTGAATTGGACTTGGATATGGGATTGGCTTCTCTCAACAGAACATTATTATACAATGTTCAATATTGTACAAGCAAAGCTGCAATATGCTCACAGGGCTGGGTTTGCCGTCTGCCACCTCTGCTGTCACAAGGCTAGAAAAGTACTTCAAGTTTCTTTCTTGTGCCTGGACCCCAAGTCCCCAGCCCCCATGCAAAGCACAGATGAGTAGAGCCACCTCAAATGACTGCAGCATGTGGGCCACCTTGCACAATGTTTGAGTTTGTGAGATAGTTTTCTACACACTGATACCTGGCTGCTCCACATCTGGATAACTCCAAGATCTATTCCAAAGCATGCATCCCTGTCCCAAGCTCAAGTTCAACTTTTTGTCTCTTACTGGGCTCATCTCCCAAGACTCATCAATCCCACAACTGGCTTCTTGTCTCCCACTCCTTCCTTTCTCAGATCTGAGTTGACCCTGATACTTTACTCGGCCATCTGTTGGCTCCAGGTTACAAACTATATACAGTTTGTTTCTGCCTATCTCTTTGGCCATATTGATCCCAAGGCTGGCTGCTTCAGGAATGTAACATAGTTGCCATTGCACTTTGACCACCTGCTTCCTCAAACACACACTGTAGGCAGTGTGTTGTGGGATAATCCTTTTGTACACTGTAAAGATGTGTCTCTACCTTCTGATTGGCTTAATAAAGAGCTAAGTGGCTAATAGCTAGGAAGGAGAGAATAGGACTTCCTGGGAGAAAGAGGAACTCAGGGTTAGGATCTAGGCACATGGGAGATGTCAGTGAGGCAAAGGGAGTCAGACATACAGAATGGAGGAGAGATAAGAAGTCACGTGGCAGAACATAGATTAAGAGAAGATTAAGTTATAAGAGCTAGTTGGGAATAAACCTAAACCAAAGGCCAAGCTTTCATAATTAATAATAAGTCTCTGTGTCATTATTTTGGGGGCTGGTGATCCCCCAAAGAAAGTTGGACAAGAAAGTTCAACTACAGGGTGGTCTTTCTGCAAACACCAATTAAAAAAAATCTTAGAATGTTATTCTGGTTGAATCTTCTTTTGTGACCGTAATGTCTAGGGAAATGGACACTTGCTATGTGGCTCAGAACTGAGCTGGTAAAGCCCAAGGTGCATGGGGTCAGGGTGGTTCAGGGTCACCTCACAGTCGGGATAGGTCAAGAGATGGTATGGAATTGTGGCTCCAAAGCAGTCATCACTGTGTGGTTAAGTGTGTGTGTGTGTTTTGTCTCTCTCAAGTCCTTTTTGAGTTTGAGGCAGACACACTGATCCAGGTGCTATATCTGGGGTCATGAAAGCATGTACAGCCATGTCTTTGTTGGAAAGAGCTCAGAGTTGTAGGGTTGAGCCTGACTTTAGTACAGAATCAGGTGAGAAGGGGGGAAACCAGGTCTTGAAGGAGAACAGAGAGACCCGTAAGAGAAGAATCACCATGACTGAAAAGGTGGGGTGAGTGGGTATAAGGCAGGGGTAGTATTTCGGGGTTTGTCTGGAGATAACTTCAAATCTCCTCTGACCCAGTTTACTTCTGACTGAAGAAATAACTGTGCCCTGCAAAGGCTGAACCAAAAGAATTACTCTGCTGGGACCCCACCCCTCAGTTTCCACCATCTTCTCCTGAACAACAACAACAAAATGAACAGAAACATGGAAGCAGACAATGCAAACACTGGGAGAGAGGGAGGAGAGGGGAGGAGGAAGAGGAGGAGGAATAGGAGGAGAAGGAGGAGGAGAAAGAAGAAGAAGAAGAAGAAGAAGAAGAAGAAGAAGAAGAAGAAGAAGAAGAAGAAGAAGAAGAAGAAGAAGAAGAAGAAGAAGAAGAAGAAGAGATAGCCAGCAGCTTTAGAGCTTCTGGTGTGGCAGCAGATTGGAGTAGAGGCAGGCAGAAAGAAGACAGGACCTAGGGCTGAATCAGAGACAAGGCCCATCTGGGGTCAGCTCTCTCCTCAAAAACACTGCCCACATGTGGCTGGTGCCCAGAGGACTTGGATAAGCCACCAAGACCATTTCTAACAGAAACACTATACAGACAGACATAAGAAAAGTTCAGCTGGGCGGTGGTCATGCACACCTTTAATTCCAGCACTCAGGAGGCAGAGCAAATGAATATCTGAGTTCAAAGCCAGCCTGGTCTACAGAGTGAGTTCCAGGACAGCCAGGAA